GCGGAAAGAAAAGGGGAAGACGGCAGGGCGGATAGCTACCGTGAACGTCCCATAGCCATTTCTAATTATAACGACATGAGTTAGATGATTAATCAAACAACAACTATTGCACCATGTGTATTAAATTCTAATCTAATCTCACACCTCTTTTTTATAACTTAATTAGCATATTGTTATTATCTTTAAACAATTTATTGAGGTTACTAGCACAACATGCTCAAACATGTTTCCAATATAAGATTGGAGAAAATAATTGATCAATATAATAGTTCATATTGATCATTTCTTCACATAAAGAAAAACACAAAAGCACACTCTTTATTAAATTCAGTTAAATAACAAAAAAAAAAATATTATTGATGAAATGACCAGTATACCCTTCTGTGGACTACTATGACGAAAATACCCTTTGAAGTGGGGAAATATTACTGAAGTGGCAATACTCTGATTTGTGCGTCAAACGCGGGGGTTTGCGGATTTGGTGCGTGGAGGGCATGTAAGACCCACGTCGAGATGGGTCCCACACAACATTTGAAAGCGGCAGAATCTGATCCCTCCATTATCATGACGTGGCGAGAATCTACAGCTCGACATTCTGAAAGTGGGTCCCACGCGCTCTGAGGATCAGACGGCTGTTGCCAGATAGGCATTTGAGCTCCACAGCATAGAAGTCACGTGGACTCGCATAGGGATCTGAGCCTGACATATTATTCTTGCTATTTTCTTTAATAGTAGTAAAATTCTTGCCTTGTTATTATCGGACAATTTTTTTTAAAATTTATTTAATATATATGGTAAATTACGGCTACATCCTTGAGGTATACTAAAATAACTTTAAGGTCCATGTGGTATTCATAATTACAACTACACCCCTAAAACAATTACTAGAGCTAAGATTTCATGTTGTTGGGACCGATATGCACTATATTTGTTTCCCGCGGGGCCGTTAATGCTACCATAGACAAAAATTTATAAAGCTTATATAAAATAATAAGGATTTAAGAAATGTTAAGAGAGCCATGTCACCCACCCCCTAACTCTATGTTGTCTCCACCAATGTCCTAAACAATGCATTATTTCGTTAGAGTTTCTAACAATGTTTCAGGGGAGTGATTGTAATTACCAATACTACAAGGATCTTAAAATTATTTTAGTATAACTCAGAGGTGTATGTGAAATTTACGCTAATATGTTCATATATCTATATTGATCAAATACATATATGTTATATGATGTTAGAACAATGTGAACTAAACCACCCATCGATTGTTGGAGTATTTTATAAAACAAGCTGTACGACGTTGATTTTTTAATCTTATTCATATTTTTTTTATGAAATTAAGTAAAGTTTGAACAAGAAAGAAAATAGGGATAACATAACGCATGCAGGGAAGACGAAAATGGAAATTCATATTCTTTCAGCTCCTATATTTGGGAGTTACAAATCAACAATTCAAATTCAATTTTAAACACCATTGTTTTACTTTAATTCCAACTATTTACTGCAAAGCGTAACATCCGATTTTGGACCTATAAAACGAGGCTCTCTAGCTTCATAAATTTTTTTTTAAAATCTTTTTGGAGCAACAATCTCCCTACTTCTCTTCCTAAATTATCTTCTAAATTTATGAGTTCTTGTGAGTGTCGGGTGCAAACTTCTGCTTCACTTGATAGTGTATTTTTTGATGAAGCTACAACAAAGAAATAGAATGGAAAGTTGTATCCTATAAGCGACATGATTGATACTTTTCTGCATCTCTTCAGAGATGAATTATGAAATTCGTCTTAAGAGAGCGACCTAGTTCGCGTCTCACCATACATATCCTACGAGTTCTTGACGATTTCCAACAGCATATAACATTGCTTAATACACACATTTATATTAGTGTATGAATAGATGACATATATTTATACAATGTACGCTCCACCGATTATTATATAGATTTGATCGTTTCAATCTCCGTTTGATTATATATTTAAATTCAAATTTTCACTTTTCTTACTATTGGTTATATAAGTTTCTATTTTTGTAATAATTATAAATATGGAAGAAAATATTTTTTACATCTTTTAGAAAACAAATAATTATTTCACAAATTAATAGGAAGAATGAGAAAATATTATACATAATTCTCTCTCACACACACACACACACACACACATATATATATTAATTGAAATAAAATCAGAAAAATATTGCTTGATTTCCTCCTTAAATCACGCAATGGTTATGTCTTCTTATTCCAAATAGAAAATAGGTTTTCAAATTTCAAACAAAATAGTAAATACATAAATAAATAATATGAGCTCATCCACGATTCACGAGAACCATCCCTTTCACTTGCTACTACAATACATATTACAATAAACCATCACTGCATATTTACATGCAAAATATTAAATTTATTTTTTAATATTTTTTAATTCTTTACTAACAATAATTATTATTATTATAATAATAATGACTACTCATACACTCTCGTTGTTGGGGGGGGGGGGGGGGGGGGGGGGG